GCGTTTCATTAGATTTAATTGGAAAAATCTGTGTTTCTTACTATATCCCGTTTCAACTCAACCTACGCTTTTTCTTTCCTTTTTTTTCTCTAAGAAACAAAGAACTAAAACGTTAAAAAGAAACCCTTCACAACTTTAATTTATTGTTTCGAGAATATTCCAGAAGGGTCTAAAAGCAAAAATTGATTTTTGGATTTGTGGAGTTGAAAACTTAAAAGAAATTCATTTTAAAAACTACCAAGAAAATAAAACGATAGGCGCCTTATTCACAGAAACTGAAACATCGAAACACATTGTTCGTGTCTGCAGTCGTACATCGTGCCAAAATGTAAGTCGGAGATTCTTGAAAATTTAACAAATCTTTAATGCTTTGAAATAAGTTAAAAAAGAAATGAATAAAATTTTGTAGCAAAAGAAGCATTACTTACTTGTTCCCCATGATTCGTTGGGTCGTCACTAACACATTTACGTAAACCAAACTTCTTTTCGGCATTTTTGAAATCCGTATCCACACATTTATTTGCTGCTACATTGCGCAGCTCACCTGTATAATTAGTTGCATAAGTACTTCAAAAATTTTAGATCTAATAAATGATTGATCAAACATCAATAGCGAAAAATATAAATGTTACTTAACCTTCAGCACTATCTTCGGGCTCTATTGCGGGATAAAACTTTTCCTGATCGAAAGCAATCTTTTTCATAAACCAATCAAATGATTTACATTTAAGCCTTTTTCTAATTGCTTTCTGCTCACTGAGGTCCCCTAAAAACATTTTTTTTTTTGCTGCAATTATTGATCAGTTATTTATTTTACTTTAATTTTCAATTGATTTCTGCCTGTAAATAAGTCCCTCGGCTTCAGGACCATTATACTTCACCACAAAAACCATACCAAAATCAACAGTAAGCAATGGTGGTCGACGCTTGTATAAAAACTTTGCATATTCATCCATCCATACTTCAGCAACTCTGAAGGCTCCTTTTCAGTTGATCAGGAAATTCAAAATTCCATGGTTCACTACCGTTATCTTTCTGGTATAAAGAATTGAAATATACCTTCTGTAATTTCTGGAAATGAAATCTCCAATACCTGGATTTGAAAAAGGAATATATTTACAACGATAAATGTGTCCAACTCGTGAACAGGGAGCATCAACCATTGTACCATGACACTGCCACACCTAACAATATCTATTGAACAAGTTAAGCAAAAATTTCGAAGAAATGATCTAACAGATTTTTAATATTCCAGTTCTTTTCGAATTACTTGAATTCTCAACATTCAGATTTCTCAGTGTTAGAATCATTATGAAGACAACGTAATATCCAGTTCTTTGACTGATAGTGACATGAACAGAATGAATTTAATAGTATATGCGACAAATGGAAATCCTGAAAAAAAGTCCAAGCTTATTTCTAAAAAAGATTACGACCAACCTTGAAAGATAGTTCATACTGTTCACCACCCCATATTTCAAGGCCCTCATCATAACCTCCCAACTCCCAAAACCATTTCCTACTGATTGCAAAATATCCACCAGCCATAACTGGACTATGGAAGGGACGCGTTGGATTTTTCTTATTATCTTCTGTTAAAGGCAAGCGTTTGTAATTGAATTCCCAATCAAAAGAACCTGAAACTTAGAAGTTTATATCAGTTTTCTTCCAATCTTTTTTTAAAAAATCACGAAGAAAAGAAAAATCCCAAACCTCTACCGCCTTCATCTTGGGCACGGTACTCATAAGTATTACAGTCAATAACATCGATAAAAGGACAAACTACCATCCTGAAAGGAACACATTATATGTTTTTAAAGTGAGGCAAAATTTTTTAAGAATGTGAGGAACAAGGATTTTTAACGAAGCTTCAATTCTGCAGAATTCATAATATCAAGCTTCGTTGAAAAGTTAAATATTAAATTTGCAATCGAAACAATTATAAAATTTACTTATAATCAAGTGCAATTGGTTCAACGAGTGGTGGCAACCAATTATAATTTACTTCTGAATGTGCATCCAAAAACACAATTACATCTGCTGTTATATGCCGTGCACCTCTTTGGCGCGCCCGAATTAATCCTTCTCTTTTTCTAAATTAACAAAAAAAAAAAAATTTGAAAAGCGAAGGAAAACTTGAGCACGCAGAATTGAGCTGGAAGAAAAACAATAAGTTGGTTGAGAAACAACTTCGTATGAAAGTGAAAATCCAACAAATTTTTCGTTTCTGACCACGAACATATTTTATTATAGAATAGAAATACTGCTTTTACAGTGGACAATTTTTCAAGGTAAAGCATATCCAGAACGCCGTATATCTTTAACCAAAGAATTCAAAGAGTTTGTTGAATTAAATTACAAAAACTTACTCCGTACGAATAACTTTCACGATGTGATTAAGACCAGCCTTTTTCAGGAACTCTTCAAGTGGTTCTTTCAGGAATGCTTTTGTGCTTCCATCATCGACAAGAATAATTTCTCTCATGATATCTTTTGGAGAACGATTTATAACAGAATATACGCTTCTTAGCAGCGTAGAATTGTGCTGGAAGAAAAACAATAGGTTAGTTGAGAAATAACTTCGTATGAAAGTGAAAATTCAACAAATTTTTTGTTTTTGACTACGAACACACCTCATTATAGAAGGGGAACACTACTCCTACAGTAGGCAATTTTTCAAGGTAAACCATATTCTTGCATCCAGAATGCCGTATATCTTTAACTGAACGATTCAAAGCAATCAAATCACTTATGTAAGCATCATAACCGTTTATACGGTAGAGATCATCCTAAAAATTTGACGAGCCATAAAATGATGGAAAGAATAAAATGACTGATTGGTCGATTAAATGATTTTCAAAATATTACAGTTTTCAAAGTTTCATAACAGCTGAGCAATTTCTCAGGACAAAACACCTGTGAAGTATCCGAACTTACACCTCCAGCATAGTTCATTTCTCTTTCGTAATCAATTACGGGTATGAATTTCGGAAGCTAACCCGTAATTTTTTAAATTCGCTAATTGCTACTACCACTGGTTTACCACCCTCGCCAAGCCCTTGTCTTAATGCATCACGTTTCATCGATTCATAATCATGCCAGTCCTTTCTGCCAAAATTTTTATATAAAGCAAATGGATCGGTGTCGTTATCCACTAAAATTCTACGCCAAATAAGTGTTTTATTTTTTATGCATTGGAATTTGAAACAAAGTATCTTTACGGTGTGCATTTTTAGACAATAAGGAATAAGACAGCAAATAAAAATCTCCTTCTACAACACAATTTCATTTCAATGACTAAATTTTTAGAATAAATCCCCAAACCAAAAAAAGTATGTGCTAACCTATGTTTCCAATAAAAGCACCAGCCATCATGCCTTTGTGCCCCTTTGGATGCATTGTTGCTGGTTTTGGAGCAGAAAAAATTGCATAAAACCCAATAAAACAAAAGGCCAGGGCAAACGCCTGCAGAGTTCGTCTGCTGCATCTCTTAAAACAACGCCAAGACATTGTCCTTCTCACGATTACCTGAAGAAAAAATTTTAGCACTAATTTTATTAATTTACTGAAGTCGCAGCGTATATAAGAACATATAAAAAATCACACATGAAAGATGAGACGATAAGACTTCGATTTTCTGAAAAAAATTTCCAAATTAAAAGAACTGTAAGCAAGAGAATTTTATTCAAAAAAAGTAGTTATAACATACAGAAAGCAAAACGAAATGAAACGAACACTACTGTTTCAAAAACCAAACTTTTAAATAAAAAAATATCATAGTGAAAACAAACAAATGGGAAAAGCATTCCCAACTAACTGCAGTGAACAGGGAATTTTGGGTCCAAAATAAAATGATCAATTCGTAACCATCTAAACACACGAAATTTTAACAAATGAACGGCACAATTGGACATTGCATCTTCTCCGAAACTCGGTGTAATCAAAATCAAAAAAAAAAATAGCTGCATAACACCCGATGAAATTGAAGCGTTCCGACTTTAAGTGGATTGGTAGGATAGAAGTAGAAAAAAACTTACACAAGATACTAGGACCGTCCAAACATTGACGTACAGCATTACTTCGTGTTGGGGGTAATTGGACATCGTCGTTCTACCTTTCGGAAAAGGCTGACACCAGTCGTCAAATTTCTCTGTTCTATCCACCTGCTAGTTATATTAACCGTTTGAATTATCCTGATTTCAAAGCCAATGCTGCATTTTGTTGGCTTATTTAAAACTTCTCATATATATAAATATGTACATTGCTGTGTTTCAAAACCTCCAAACGCTGCTATTCTTCCTAACGTGCAGTGAAGTCCGCTCTACGCTCTAAACCCCTAGTAATTCGTAGAAAGATCCAAGTTCATTTCCCGAAATTCAAATACGGCATATTTTTATCTCTCTCTTTAATATAGCAGTTTGAAATTCCATACTTATACTTACTATAATAGAGTGAAGCCTAAGACCAAGACCAAGGAACTTAAGAAATCACATCTCGTAATCGAACTCCAAAAACCACTAATTCGATTTCGAATTCTACAAAAAAGTGTATTACACCAGCTTTGAAAGTTTCCTTTAAGATCTGCAATCGAACACTCTTATTATTGACAGGCACAACTTCCACAAAAATCGAGAGTGAAGAAGAACAAGCTTTACCACACGCTATTTCAGTGAGAGAATTTAAACTCCCGCCTTGGGATGCGAGGACAAACGAAGTCAAAAAATTCATATTCTGATTAAAACAGTTAACGTTCTTTCACTGTCCCATTCAGATATTTTCTATAACATGAAGTGAACAACTTATAGAAAATTAAATAATAAAAAACCAGAAAATTAAATTGAAATCTTTGTACTCTTATTAATTTCTATCGATGCAGTTTTACACATGATTATCTGTAATTGACTAATTTGTTATAACATTTACTTATGTTGAAAGCATTAGTCTTAAATGTCCAGCAAACACAATACATGACTAAGCACTTCCATCCCACATGTACATTATCACTCGGCTTCTCCATTAACCAATAAACATCGGTATACATTGGCTTCATTCTGCATTTCTTCCTTATTCCGAAATCTCTTTTTCCCGATTTTATCATGATCTGCTAATTCACGATAAATATTATCTGGATCGCTGCCAAAATCATTTTTTTTGCGAGGAAGTATGTGTACGTGTACATGCTATAAGAGAAGCTCGTTATTAGTTTCTCGCTTAATTGATCTAATTTATTGTTATATTTAATTAAAAAATAGTTCTACAATGAAATTTCCAACCGCGAGCTGCGAAATGTAGATTTACGCACAGTTTTCATTAAAAAATTATAACAGATGAATGAGTCAGCAGTAATCAAAAAGTCTCATTTCTAACTTTGAGATTTTTGAATGGCATCCGAAAAAATAAGAACAGGTACACATACTTACCGAAACAGTCTGTCCTGCTTCAGGACCATCCTGAACGCAAACAGTCGAAGATGTTGCTTTATAGTAGTCTTCTAGCATTGTTTGTATTCTTTTTGCAGTTATGAATAAATCGGAAGTTTCAGTATGACTTAATTCAGTGAGCCGTTTCACATTCCTGACTGGACAGACTAGCACATCTGAAAGGAAGCAGCATTTCAAATGCAAACTGCTATTTTGTCAAAAAAAAAGTTTACATGAAAGAAATTTTTTTGATCATCTGATTCAGCATCTCCGAATTTCTTTAAGGAAACTTGATTTATAATAAAATGCATTATGCAGAGTAAATTATATGAAATATTTTCGATAAACTGATCATATCAGCTAAAAGTACTAACGTCCGGGGAGTACAGGACTCCGATTCACAAAGCAGAATGTGTAGGTACTCCGATAAAAAACGTGCTCGGGCGGAACACTGTGACTACCGAACATATACGCTTTATTTCCTGAAACATGAGAATTGAAAAGTTTCAAATTTAAGTACGAAAACTTAAATGTGCGGTTAAAAATCTAAAAAAGTCAATACTGACCGATTTCGTTTCCCTGTACCACTATCAACGAATACAAATCAGAACGACGGTGTTCGAAAACAGGTTGCAGTTTTCGTACTTCATCGAGATAATTTAATGATATTTCAGCAAAGCATACGTCTTAAAAATCTTTAACACAGAATAGATAAATTTTAGAAATCCAAGTTGTTCTAAACCAGAAATTTAGAAATCCAAGTTCTCTCATTTCCTTGATTTTGTTAGAGATTTCCAATACCAGTCCCCAAAATAGAAAAAGCAATTGCAATGTAACAGAATTCAAGTTATACCTATAGTTTCTGAACACTGAGCAACAACTGCACCCCAAGGATCAACAACCATTGCATGACCATATGATGACCTTTTATCATTATGCTTGCCAGTCTGAGCTGCAGCAACAACATAACACTGCGTTTCGACAGCTCTTGTCCTTAGCAAGATCTAAAAAAAAAATAAAACGTGATAAAATACAACGCTAAACTTAATGAAACATAAAACTTGAAATTTCCTAGAAACGTCACTGAATATTGCTAGGAATGATCGGTTAATTCCTTCGAATTCAAAGACACAAAAACAAATTTTTTTTGCTCAAAAATCACCAAACACCTACTTCCCAGTGTGCACAACCAGTATCAACAGTGAAAGCCGATGGGTATGTCAAAACATGGGCTCCATTCATACGATACCATAATGCCAATTCAGCAAACCGCAAATCGTAACAAATGGACATGGCGACATTTCCCACAGGTGTACAAACTGGCTTCGAAATCTGAAATCTTGTCTTAAATAAAATTCATTTAAAAAGTCTATGAACAAAAGAAATGTAACAGCCGAACCTCAAGAAAATAAAACCAACTTCATCCCCACGACTTGAAAATTCGCTTTCTACTAGGCGCACTTTCCCAGGGATATCTAAATCGAAGAGATGAAGTTTCCTGTAGATACCACGAGTTTTTCCACTGTCATCCACGATAATATGAGTATTAAAAGGTTTCCGTAATCCAGCAGGATCCTAAAAAAGGACCACAAGTCAAATTATTTTTGATTATTTATGTAAGATTTACGAAAAAAAAGCACCAGTAAATCAGCATAGCATCATTCAACTTAAGACCTAAAATATTTTTTGAACCTTTTGGTGAAATCCACCCAAACTGAGCCAAAGTCCATATTCTTTGGCACAAGTTCGATACCGACTGATATAATCGTCGTTCTCACTTAAAGCCAGTGCTTCAATCTCGTTACGACTTTCTCCGACATAATCGAAACACTCCGGGAAGAAAACCATCTAAATTTGGAAAAGCTTTCAAGTCAGAATAAATATCAATTTCCCAGTAAATCAAGAAAAAAAAATAGCTTTTCAGAACTGCACAGGACTAAGGCATATCGATAACGCTCAAATATTTTACCCAGTAGGAAATAACTTACTTAAACCACTACTTTTTATGGACAGCTCTTCCACTGACTGTCTCACTCGTCATTTTAGTCATAAAATAATTTCCTAGTGTCTTTGGAATGGAACTAGACTTTATTGTCTTGCCAAAATTGCTAGTAAAAACAAGTAAACTGGACAAAATTTGAATATCTGCACTAGGGATGGGTAATGCCAATGAATGATAAAGCGTGAACCTTCGCCTTGCGCTCTTTAGCACGCTTCATCATGCATTTCGCAACTTCGAAATTAGCTTCCAAGTCATTTGTCGCCGTTAACTGACAAACAGCAATCAGTGAACGCTTTTCGTTCATTAGTGTCGAAAACTGACGACGGATAGCGGTGCTTAGTAATGTACAGCCAGGCATTCGACTATGGCGTGCATAAATTGCAGTGAACAGTGGCTATCTATCATGAACTCATGATTCAACATGCATTTCCTGAAATTTATAAAACTTATATTTTATTTCTCACTTGATTTAAAATTTTTGAGGACTCAACCTGAAAAGTTGATATGTAAAAAGCATAAAAGAGAGAAGTGGTAAGCAGCCGTCCAGCATGTCACCACTACATCTTTTCATCTGTTATCAGATCAGCGTTAATCCTCACCCAATTAGATACTAAAAAAAGGAAATTAATAACACACGCTACCATATGATCGAACTTAGCAGCAGCGCAATTCTACGAAAGCTATGTAGAAAAAGCATATTGTCATCGAAACATGACAAGGATGGAGTTAGTGATGCATGCTAAACATGTAAAAGAAGTGAAGTCGGTTACGAGGAGAGTGTTGATAAGGAGAGAGAGAGAGAGGAGAGGATTGGAAAGATGAACGAAAGAGTAGATGCGAGACGAAATGAAATGATGCTATTTAATTCGCTCCAATATAGGGAGTGAAATAAACAAATTTTTGTTCTGTGTAAAGTAAGGATGACCGTGAGGGAGGAGGGAAAAAGCGGTATTGATACGCGGAGTGTAGGTGTGTTTGTTGAATGGCAGGGTACACTTTCAAAGCTGCGCTAATGTCGTTCTTCTGAAACGTCAAGCAGTAACAGGTTGACGGAGGGCCAGCTGGATTGTTCCGATGCTTTAAATTCCACAGATTCCAGGGTGGTGAAACAAATTTCGAAAATGATGTCTATTCTGAAGTTGAGTTGGTTAAGATTCAAGAAACATAGTGTCTGCGTTTGATTATCTTCCAAATAATTTAATGGAAGAGTTACATATCCTTGTTATTATTTATGTATGGGTATTTAGGGAAGCCCCGATAAAACAGTAATCAAATAAAACACGGAATGATTCGGGAATTTGTTATATTAGTATCCTTCGTGGTCGGAACTAAAGGTACGTTTTGTATGATAATTGAAACGATAAGTAAAATAGTTATTTTAATTTCATACTACATCATGGTACACAAACCTTTATATAACATTGCAGGATATGTTCGAAGAGTTGTTTCTGTTTTTATATAGCAAATAGTCCAAACCCTCTAGTTTGATTAATACAGTAGATTTTATATGTTGATCGTTACATGCAGTCGTTTTAGCTGTCACGTGTGAATCACCCTATCATTCGGCGGCAACGTTCTCAACCACCGATGCCTTCTTTCACTCAAGCACAACTTATATTATTGAATTTAATTTGCAGTGCTCCAATAATGTCAAAGTTATTTTTTTTTCCTTTTGATTTTCTTGCAAATGAACGTAAATATATTGAAACTCTAGCATCAATAGCTTCATAACGGGAACATTATTTGGTTTTTACTAATTCCGACTCTAGGACATGGCCGTTTATGGTATCGTCAATGGGAAAATATACCAGGCTGCTGTTTCTGAAGAAACGTCAAAACATCAGGTATCCTGGCAGTTGGAACATGAAGAATCGGCTGCTCAGACGTTTGATGTTGTGATTTACGATGAAGATGGTTTAACATCATATCGCAAAGTACATGGGTTGTTTACAATTTTGAGTAGGGTCTGCTAATGCTAGTATCTTTTTGGAATTTGCGGTTTATCAGTGATTCCAAAAAAAAGTTTGACAAAATTATTTTAAATGTCAAGCATATTGTGAACCGATTGATAGAAAACTTTACTAATCCACTTAGCACAGAGCTATCACTTTTGAAAAAGGGTTTTTTTGGAAATCCAAACTCTGAAACCAGTTGGAACATTATTGAAAACAATTTCAATATGAATTTTAGTTCATAGGAAGTAAGATATGCTTTCAGTATGAAGCTTAAACTATCTATGGAAGCATGCATGCGTTTCATTCTTTTTTTTTCTAGGCGGAACGGAACCATGATGATACCTCTAAAGTGAAATCACTCTTCACAGTTCAGTTAAAACATCCTGTATGTTTCATCCATTTCAGTAAAATCGATTTTAGACTTTTTGCATGTCGTGAAACCTCTCTGTCACTTAGTTTCTTCTTATGTCCCGTTTCAGGAAATATGCGTTTTCTATACTTTAAAGTCCATGGAAAAAATTTTTAGCTGGGAATACACTAAAGATCATTCATAGTTCGGTAAATGTTCCCATTGTTAAATATAAAATCGAACCATATATTCATTTCAGGGTGTTTCGAAATCATCTCCAGTTGCATCAGAAACGGTTGTTACGGCTTTCGCTCTGATTGCTTTATATATTGGTTATCACTTTAAGAGTCAGTTGATGGCTTAAAGTACAAATATTAAATATCTTATAGATAATCGTGATGAGGATAAGGCCGTGTTTGTTATGTTACTGTGACTTTTTGTCACTTTTATTTATAGCAGTCAAGGGTATTTTCCATGTTTTTTCATAATTTTATGCATCTTTAAAGAATTTTTGAGATTTAAATTTTGAACATTGGCTGAAGGATGTAACTCTTTACTGTCTTGGAGTATGTGAAGTAGGATTCAGTTTCAGCAGTTACTTATATCGGTGTCGTTTCTTTCTTTTCCTTTTAAATGTTGTGGTTTGTATTGTTGATCCTTCTGTTAGGATAACTTGCTGTTTTATTTATAATTCAGTAAAGGTGTGGTTAAAATCATCCCTTTCATGCAAGTTTTCGCATTTTGCAGCGTGAAAAGTTCATAAATCTTGTGGAAATTGGTCGTGTTGCAGTAGTCCATAGTACATCTACCCGGTTCATCGATTTTCAGGATGTTAGCTTCATTAGGGATGCGATCATATATGGTCAATGTAGAAAGCAAGTGTTCGCTAAGGTTTCTGAAATTGTCAGCTGAGCCAAGCAAGCTATCTAATTACTCGTATAGGAAAATTGTGACTATCTTTAATCCATCCAGTATGCAATTCACCACCTCAACACATATATCCATCTCGAATCCTTTCCTAAATTCGAACGTTCTGCGCGAAACAAGGAGGCTTATCTATGCTACTGAAGCAGTACGTACTTAAATCATTAAGGGGTTTTGAAGTGTTTTGTTTTTCATAGGGGTGAGCATAATCTTGGGAATATTTTCATTGACTGGAAAGCTAGTGAAAAGTGGGCTGTCTTTTACACATTTTGCGAATAACTTGCGAGTTCTGAGGATAAGATTTTCTGCCACTAAGAAGGTTATAATGTATTTATAAAAAGTACTAGTCCAGAAATTCCCGGGTGGATAGAAGTTTACTGATTTCTTTGCTACGGTAGATATGTTTATATTCAATGATGCCTTTTAGAAGCACAATATTTCACTTCCTGAAAATGATGAGAAACTGAAAAAAGCGGAGGAGGCAGTCCAGAAGGAGCACAGGGTATGAATTGCTGCTATTAACAGAAAATTATTGTTTGACGCTATTAACAGAAAATTCTTCCAAAGATCCAGCCAATTATTTTGTGCCTTGCAGGAAGCGAAACCTACAGGATTATTTGCAAAATTGAAATATTATTTGCAACGTTATTGGTATATTGCTATTCCAATACACATTGCAAACTGTATCGTTTGGTTTACTGTCCTTTATATCACTGTCAAAAGGTTAGTTTCCTCTTTTTATTCGGTTTCTGGGAGTATTTAAGATTAAATTCGAAACTGAAATCAGTTATTATTGAATTAAATTAGTGGTTTCAAACACTTTCAGCGGTCTTGATGTTGCTGCATTACTAGAGAAGTGCCATGTACCTAATTATGTTGTTGGTAGAGTAAAATCAGTTCCTTCGAACGCAGGAGTTGCTGTTGTAGCCTTTCTGTTGTACAAGGTACGAGCTTTACCAACTAACTAATTACGCAAAAGTTTGAAACATACCAAAAGAATAGAGGGCGTTACATAGTTAAGACTAATCAATCGTGGATGAATAGTTTAGTGCGAGGCCGTTGTAACATGTTTCAAAAGATCCATGCACAATCGTGTGCCGTGTGTAGTTGTTTTTCATCCGGAAGATGTTACTGTTTGTTGCTTAGTGAAATTTCAATTCGGTCTCGTTTCAGATCGCTACTCCATTTCGTTATGCTACTACTGTGTTACTAATACAGCTTAGTTTCCCTATTCTTCGACGAATGGGTATAATGACAGCAAAGGAAGTGAAATATAAAATGCGATTGAAATATACGAATAAAGTAAGAAAAATAAAACGCCGTTATCAACTAAAGTTTAATAGAGTGGGATCTGTCGGAAATAAAAAACGGCAGAATACCAGTGGAATTAAAAAATCCTAGTAAAAGCCATCGATCATTTTTGGTTTACATTGTCGTTTACTGTATGCGTCTTAACGTCGTGTAACTTACATTGTGTACTGTTTAGTCATTATTCACCGTTAAGTTCACTCGGTGGAAACAGGATGCAAATCTCCAGAAATTTTTGGTTTGCGAGTTTTTATAATTACATCATTGATGAAGTGCTTCCCATAAAATTTTAAGAGTTTGAGTTTCAAGACATCGTACTGTTTCCAAATTTTGAAGAATTTGTTTGAACCGTTGTAGAAGTTTTGGTGCTAGGCTTCAAAGACGAGCTCAAATGCTGCACCCAGCTGTTTACAAAGTATTTGTACTTATGTTCAAGTAGTATTTACGTAATTTGCAACATAATGCATCGGCTTAGTGTGCATGTTTATCAGTTTTTTAATCTGTAAATTGGTAATGTAAGACTTACAAAGACTTGTAAGGTAGAATGATCGATTAGAATAATAGAACTGCCATAATTATTCGGAAAGATGTAAGAATATAAATCCAGAAAATTATTAATTGTAAGTGATAAAACGCTTCGGCAAAAATTTTCGCTGGTAAAGCTCATACTAAGTAAGAACAAAGATTTCTCTAAGATTAATGTTCAAAAGTGTTTATAAGGTTGAAGGTGATTGTCCATTTCAAAATATATTGCAGAAAGAAACATAGGGGACTGTTTGGCGAAAACAGGTTCAGTAGTTGTGGAACTGAATAGCTGCTTCCAATTGCTAAGAACTAAATTTATTACTGCAAGTGTTAAGCGAACATGCGCTGATGAACTTTTTTGCATTAGAAGTGTTTAATTTAGGACATACATGGAGAGTCTGCATCTTTATAACGGTTGTCGAAGAGGGCTAGTTTCGTGATTTATTTTGAATTTATGCTTTAATTAAGCAGATATAATTCTTATGATAATGTGGCCATGTGTACAATCGATAATTCTACGTTTCCTTAAACTTTGGAGGTAACAATACGATATCGACAAGATTAAGAGGACGACGACTGAGCCATTTCACTGACGCTTTTTCAGATTGAACATGCATCGGGAAATTTGATTTTCTATAGTAGTAGAGAGATAGTGATAATTATACAGAAACATGACTAGAATCGTTGATAGTCATGGCTCACTGTTTTGTGTGAGAGAAGATTTTTTTAATTTCGTCTTCCAATTTGAGGTAGATCATGCAAAGGTTAGGGACAATGTTTTCAATGACGATAAGATCTCAACCGCTTCGAGAAGCGTTGTCCTAGGTTTGTTGTAATCAGATAAAATCAACGTGTCTTTCTGGAAAGCATCTGTAATCGTATATGAGAAACATGATTTGGCATCTTGCGGTCGGTTTTGAACGCATACTGGAAGTGATGTCAAATGTACAGTCCTTCTGAGAAAAATGAATGATGGATGGTGTTGGCAAACAGTGAATTCATTGGAAAGTGCTACGAAAACATTTCCTGTTTTGAGAGAATAGTTTTGACCTTAAGGTTTTTCTTGAAAAAGACTTACGAAGCTTGACCGATGAATACACTGTAACGAAGTTTGATTATTGAAATAGAGAGAGGAAAACTTATATATATATGGATGGGATACAAGAGTTTTTTTTTTACAGGGCTTTCAAATCATATACATAGGAAGTATGGGAGTGAGATATAAGAATAACTTAAAATTTCCACTGACTACAAAATATTTTAAAATCAAAATGTAGTGATAATGAACTGATGTCTGGAAATTAAGCTGAATTTGTCATTAATTCTCTGGTAGCTGCAACATATCTGTGTCATACAAGATATAATATATAATTTAGAACTCTGTGAACAGGAATCCTTGAAGTATAGTATACTGCTGCAGAGAGTTTCATGTTGATCTTCCTGCAGTACAACAACCGAATTCTTCGTTGTTTCGTAAATGAACAATAAGCGTAGCTATTGAATTACCGATATCTTTTTGGCTGCCATTTCTGCTAATTCCGCAGTATAAAATATTATTCTTCTATTTGTAATGTTTGGAAACCTGTTGGAATTTTGTCAAATTAGATCTTAACATATGAACAAAACTGAGGAAGGCAAAGCATCCAAATTCTACAAACACTGGTTAAAAAATAATAGATGTATTGAATTTATTGAAGCTAACGTATAAATGTATTTCTCTCAAGAACTCCGTAAAGAAAGAAGCATAAACAGGAAAATCTCGATTAGTATATAAAATATCAAGAGAGGGTAGTCCTTAACCCAACAGATTCTTCAGCTTCATGTTGCGTGTATACCGGTTCTCGTAATCGCTTTAGTCGCTGTCGATGAACTAGAAAAAGTCAATCTCATCCAGATGGTTGCAAATTTCTGAACTCTCGGAGAAATGTCCCGGTACGAATTGTGCGGTAAAAAATTTTTAAAAAGGATGAAAAGAACAGTACCCTTACTCGACTTGTGACTTATCAGAGATTTTTCATCAATAAAATACCGATCACATTCAACACAGTAGAACTGTCCATCACCTAAACAAACATTGGAAATAGTACCTTAGGCTTCACAATTGCTAAAAGATTAAGAACATCCTCAAATGAATGAAGTGAAAATCCGAAATACAGAGATGAACGACGCTTCCCTTCATAAGTTCACATTTGATTTCTACTTTTTATGGAAGACTGAGTAACTAGAAATGATGAAGAAACTAGCAAATAGAGTTACCTGGTAAATCGAGATCAAAGTTTATTTGACGAGCTATGAAACGTCGTCGCTTCTCTGACCTGATTTCTTTAATAATCTGATCCATGTCTTTCCCCTTTCTCTTTCTTATTTTATTCGATGTTGTATGCTTTTTCGGCATCCCGTATATCTCTTAAACGAATAACATGGAAATAAAGCATCATCATCATCATGGAAATTAACAAGTACCTAAAACCTCCACGACGCGAGACTCTAAATTTGCATGCAACAAGATTTGTAACCTTTAGTTTTCTCCAGTAGAGTGGGAGGTCGCTGTTTGCGGGTGTTGGGGAGTTGGTTTCACGTTCTGTTCCGTTTCTTATGATGCCACAGGAATGTTGCCATAATGAATTAACTTAAGCAGATGTTCTATTTAATTAACTCCAAAACTCTTCAACCAGACGTATGATGTCTAATGGCAGACATTTTACGGTAGCGAGTATAGCCAGTGGTGGAGCTTTCATCCTAATCTGTCAGCTTATATATACCCACATATATCTGCAGAAGAAAATCCAGAAAAAAATTCGGGGTTTCTCTCATTACAGGTAAGAAAATCCGTTGATAAGTTAATTGCCTAGTAGTAAATAGACAAATGACGTTTCACTACGCAAAGCTTCGTAACATATGCAGCAATATAATATAATGTATTTATCCTTACTGTAAAAGTTCGGTTCTGCTTTGTACTAGATATTGGTTTATGTCATAGAAAATGTGCAGTTGTTTTTACTTTTAGGCCTTCTTCCACCTGTTAGTTTTGTATTTTCAGTTAAATTTATTGTAGAACTGCTTTCACAGTGTTATCAAAGCATGAAAAGGCAATGGAATTTTTGGGACTACCGCTTGCTGTTGGTGAAGTTGATTTAGTGGACAGGAAAAGAAATTATATCGATGAACGGAAGTCTGAGGTAGTTAATAAAAAGTCTTATTGTGTTATCCCTGTTGGAAGGCGGGATAAAATGAGTTGGATTAGTTCTGTTAAACGGATATGTAATTCACGTCGCTCACTAGATTTTTATAGTTCCATAAAATTGATCTAACCAATTTATATCGAGCAAAGCATGGACTCACTATAATAAGATTTTAAATAATCGATGAACGGAAGTCTGAGGTAGCTAATAAAAAGTAATTCATACTGCTTCAGTTGCGAATCCCGATTTGTGGAGAACATGATGGTGGAATAATGGTAGTTCGAGCGGAACGTGATGAAAATGGTAAAAACTTTGAAACGGTCCAAATTGAGCTTGAGCTTGATGGAGCGGGTGATAACATTGTTATTTACGATAATGGGAAGTGGTCTGGAAGTTTAGTCCATTTAGACAGTTCGAATGATATCTGTTCTATTATGCCTTCTAATCAGTTTTGTTGCCATTTTAGGAGTTGAGAAACCTCCCCATTGAAATATTTTCTTTGAAATTTCTTTGTTCTAAATCTTATTTTGATTTGTAATATTTGAGGTGGGAAACCACTTTTTTAAATTACTAAGGCATAAAATAAATTGGATAAAAATTGTACCAAATCGGGTCCATAATTATCAAGAATTCATGAATCACATCTGGCTTTTTTGTCCTAGAATAACACGATTTCCTTTTTTTTAATAGAGCTATAGCCAAAATTGTTTTATTGACCATTTTCGTCTTCTTAATGTCTTTACTGTTTTTATAAGTTTTGGCTTAATGCGGCAATGTTTAAATGTCATGTATTTTGATTAATGAATTTTTGTTTAAATCTTAATAAAGGTCCTAAAATTAAACTGAGATTTCTTGTTTCTTGGAAGCTCCACGGAACCTGTTGTAAATGGATTGGTCTTCAAACTTTCTGAGCAAAACATTTTGATAAGTTACTCATTAGTGCTGCGAATGTATAAGAATTGAGGTGATTCTTATGCTCACGAGCTTAGTTCTGAAATTCCGCAAGAAACTTTGGCCATGATGTTACTGGAAGGACTGTAAATTCACGATCTTATATCCTGAGAAAAATACATATTTTTTGATATTTTTTACCCTTAGGTAGCCGGTAAGTCTATTCTAAATAGTTTCACCTTTATTGAGTTGGAGTTTCATAAACAAAGTACGTAAAAAAGATGACAACATTTTGGTTATCAAAAATTGAGCTATTTCTAAAAGTAATGCAAAATTAACTGTTTTGCACGAGCTGTAGTTAAAATATTAGGAAATGCTAGTATTAAGACTTAGGGAAAATACTGATTCTTTCTCAGTGATCCTTTTCGTTCAGTTCTGAATGATGTAATGAAAGCGTTTGTTCTTTCCTAACGTGTATTTCTGGTGGAAGTAGACGTTAGAAATAGCGTGAATACTTTTTTTAGCAATCGAATGCATAAAATATTTACTTTTACTGAAAAATAACGGTTTCTGGCCGATGGTATGATTTGTTCAGAGTACTTACCATGTTACACGGACTTCGTTATACTCGGTGATGTCACTATGGTTGCAACAAAGAAGTTTCCAGTGTCTCGGTGCGAATATTGCGGTGTACTGAAATAGAAAATGAGTGTTTTATTCTATTCACTGTAGATCATTCTTATTAGAAGTACAGATGACTTCCTTTTTTTAAAAAAATAGGTGTTAGAAACTGGTGATGAGTGAACACTGTGCGGCTTATGCATATTGTGTTTCTTAAATCTCCTATAAATTTCAGTAGGAATGAGAATTGATTAGCTTTATCGTCTTAGAATCCTGTGCTTAGAAATTTGTAACTGCTGCATTAAATATATTTCTTGTACATGCATACGTTATGCAATGTTTAACATTTAAACAATTTATAACTGCAGATTCCTGATTTGATTTTTCAATGTATTATCTCATAGTTTGTTATCTCAGTTTTTATGTTTGCATTCAGAATTTTCAGGAACAAATAATTACTCGAAGTCCATGTTGATTAAGGGTACTCTTTTATCATTGAAAAATATGCAGTGGCCTTCGTGGTTGCAACCATATGTCGAAGTCTTATTGTTATGGATTTCATGGGCAATTGATTGTGTTGATTGGGATTATTTGGAAGTGCGTTGGAATGTCCCATATGCTTTTCTGAAGTTTTTTTCTAGATTTCGATGAAATAAGAACCAGAACTGCTTACCACTTTCCTTTTCAGAATAAAAGCTTAGCACTTACATTCCTTACCTTACATTTTCGTTTGAAATGCACATGAACTGGCTTGTTTAAAGATAAATACCAGCTTTTCAGTATCTTATATGGCTTTTCCTGCCACTGTTCGTCGCTTTCATATTACCAGCTATTCTTCTACTTTTTATATATGGTTGTGTCATTTTTCTTCATATTTATGGCTTGCGAAATCGTATTCGAGAGGCTTACGCTAGTAGTTTATGGGATGGCGCACGTATCAGTATCGCATCCTTCTGGGATGCAGTAGGATATGTCTGGCACGGTAAATTATTGGAAAATATTTCTTATAGAATGTTTTATGTTGCTTTTTATATCATATAATTCATAGTTCAGCAGAGTTCTGAAGTTTTTTTCTACTTGATGAAAAACGCATAAATTATCAACCTGTTAAAGTCAAATATAGTTCATAATAGTTTCAAAAACACTGGATTTTATTTATAAAGCATTTCGATGAATATTTTTTTTTTTTTTTTTTTACAGGTTATGAAATAAAAGGTTTGGAAAATGTGCCTAATGAAGGCTCCGCTCTTCTTGTATATTACCACGGAACATTACCAATAGATGTATATTATGTTATTGCCAAATGTATGCTTCATAAGAAGCGTACTCTTCACTGTGTTGGTGATAAATTCATCTTCAAAATACCTGGTATTTTATTTATTCCTCATTTTCTTCCTTCTGCTCTGAATGACATCATAAGTTTTCGTCCTTCTTATTTTGTCGCAGCAGACTAATCTAGTTCTATAAACTTAATCTTGACTTAGTATTTAAAATTTAATGCACGTCTTTTCAGGATGGGGAATGATTTGTAAGGTTTTTTATATAACTCCTGGAACGGTAGATGATTGTATGGCACGGCTGAAGGATGGCCATTTACTATGCATTGCTCCCGGTGGTGTTCGTGAAGCCTTGTTTTCTGATCCCACTCGTTATAACATTATGTGGGCTCGCCGTTTGGGCTTTGCTAAAGTTATCATTGGTTGTCCAGGAACGGTTAGCCTTTAGATTATACTTAAGTGAAATCTGAAGAATTTTTTGAAAGAAATAAAGTCCACAATCATTTAATTGAAGAACTGTAACTAAAGTTGTTCAATTAAATGCGGATTATTCATCCATTCCGTTTGCTATATTCTTTCACTCTTATTTTTTTATTATGCTATTTTAGCCCGTAATTCCAATGTTTACTGAAAATTGTCGTGATGCTTTCCGTACTCCGCGTTGTGGACGAAGTAAGAATTTATTTCATTTTACATCGTCCAATTGCAAGGTTGCTATTTACTGGGTCTTCTTGGTGCATATACCAAACCCAAATTTATAGTCGGTAATCAATATGCATTTCAGAGATTTTTAGATGGATTTATGAAAAAACGCGACTACCACTTTGTCCAGTATACGGTGGTTTCCCGGTTAAAATGATGTACGTTTCTGAAGTTTGATGACGTTTATTCTTTTTATTATGCTTTTTTCTCAAAATTACCAACGAAACTTAGTGAAGGTCTTGACGATGAGATTAATGCCGTATTTCATAGCTATGTAACGATTTTCAAGTTCATACCTTAATGAACTTACATTTAGTATACTTTTTTATATCTTATTTGAACTCTTCATAATACTATCATTTCCTAGCGGTTTTCCAGAACGCATCTAGGCAGACCTCTTTATTTTTCTTCTGATATGAATCCAGAAGATGTAAAAAAGGCTGTGAAGGGCGAGGTACATGACTTAATTAGAGAACATCAACGGTTACCTGGAAGTATATTGCTCGGAATCATGCAGAGGTATATTTTTTCTATTTAATATATATATATATATATATATTTTCTATTACTGGGTTTTTGATGACCTAACACACATATACATGCATGCACATATAAGTATATCCATATAAATATATGGTATTTACACATATATGGGTATATAGGGTTTTTCAGGATACGTCACACTTCAGTGATAAGTAATTTACGAAATATATCGTAACTGATTTCCAAACTTATTCAGTGACAGTATTTTCAAAATATTTGCTTTTATCAAAAGTTCTTATTTTTTCCCTCTTTCTTGTACTAAAATAGGATTACTTATTCTTTCAGTGCATAACCATGTACAGCTTCAGGTTTTCTAATTTACCGCACGGTGCGCTATTAGTATAGCATGAAAATTTTTTGGCTTATTTATTACAGGAAGAAAGAAAAACATAGCTTCTTAATATATTCAAGGAGTTTGATAATTGGAATAATAATCTGTTTCATACAACAAGATTATTTCAGTTTCTGTACATAAATTTTGAAATCCTTTGCAGGTTTTATGATAAGCGGCGCTCTAAACAGGATGTATTATTGGAAGAAATAACTTGTAGTAATCTATGCTCAAATAACATTACACACAGCGACAGCATTGCTTCCTTAGGTCAGTTGTCATCGCCAGACATTCTAATTTCCCATGTAGATGGTACAGTATCGCTCGATATCAACTGATTAGCAAAAGGGATATACATGCCGTTCAAAAAATTTGTCACTTAATTATAATTTTTTTTTCTTACTTGTTTGTTAGATCTCGCGTCTTGAAGGTTGCTTTTCTGTGTTGCTATTGGTGTGTTTTCATGGAGCTTTCCTTTTTTTAGTAGTTGTTTGATTTCTCTTCTTTTTTTTTTGTTCTTCATGGTTGAAGTTTTCGTAACTATTAGAGTTTATTAGACTTCTGGAAGTTTTTAGATTCATCGCTTTAATTTTATATGTAATTTATCTATTTGTTTTACTCGACTTATCTTGTAGTTGTATTTTTCTAGTGGTTTTTTTTTTTTTTTTTTATTCACCTTTATATGTGTTATTTTCTCCTTAGAAGAATATAAGACTTTTATTTCATTTCGGATTTTATTCCATTTCCAGTAATTTAGGAAGGACCAGTTTTCAAGTTTTGTTTTCATAAACTTAGGATAGTATTATGTTTTGTTATATTTTCTTCTGTGACTTTTATTTCAAGAGTTATTTTGCTTTCGTTGACAAAATTTAGTCATATTAGCTGTCGTTTCTGATTTATTACCATTGTTTATGATATACCATATAACCATGACTATAGTAGCTATTTGAAACATCATGTCCAATCGATTTGTTAATGTTTTTTGGCTAATTTTTCAATTCGAAGAACTAACTGTTAATTAATATGTATTGTCTAGACCCGTACAAATTTCAGTTTCAATTTTCAACCTTAGTTGTTCATTTAATTCACTAGTTAATTTATTCGCATTTATAGAACGAAAGATCAGCTAATTTTTCTTATTTCTCTATTCTAAGAGGTAGAGAATGATGAGATTCTTCAAAATAGTGCATTGTATTTGGAACAGAAACACGGCAATTTATTCGTTTAAGATTGTTATCTTAAAAAAAAAAAAATTATTTCGGCTGTATCGAACTGCCATGTATCCCCCCCCATCAACATTATTTATGTATACATTATCCAAATTGCTAGATTTTGGTTCTTTATCAGACAAAGTCTGACAGATACATGCAAATAACCAGGGCAGTCTCGAACTAAACATTCTTTACATTGAAATATGGTACCAATTGTTAAATGTTTGTGAAGCTACTACGCGAATATTCTATGAAAAGTAAGCGCGTGATGCGAGTCAGTGGAAATTGGTCCTATGTAAATATATCGTTTGGATAATCCGGGATTTGGTACTCAAGTGCTTCGAGCAAAGCACAACAATGTTAAAAACTGGCAAGAATTTAAGTATGAGTTATGTTTTATAAGTAATGATTGTACGACAAATTTAGGATGAATGCATGTTTAATGTTTCCATGTTTGAAATTATAAATTCAACTTTTTTGTATCCAAAAAAACTGTTATTAAAAAAGCTCAAGCAGTCAAACCTTTCAGGCTTCATACGTAGGAGGAAAAAGTTAAGGATACCAGAAAAAATCCAAATGCCAGTTTCATTTTTTTGGACATAATTTTAGATGAATAATTTTAACAAGTGATGAGATTAAGGGAAGCAAACAAATGTCTTTAGAATGGAAATATGTGAAGGAGTGGTTATTTGGTTATCTTTATGGTTATTCGCTATCGTATCAATTGCCATTAAGCAGTGTTCTCGAGAAGAAATTTAGCTTACAGTAGTTAGAAGGTTTCAAACATATTTGCTTTCAGTTCAGCAAGTTTCCACAAACAGTCAGTGAAATTTGCTTATAAATGCAGCAGCTGTTGCACGGTATTTACTGTGCATCGATGTGTGCTGTTTCTTGGTTTCTTATAATGAATGAGACTTGAGAACTTCTGTATAATTACTTCACACCTTGTGAAGAATTCGTCTCTGTAATTCTTATCTGCATATTCCAAAATATTTTGGTTGAAGAATTTGGTGCTCTTCAAAAGATCCACTGGAAAGGAAATTCCATTATCGATCGGTCTCAGTCTTAATTGAGGCCCACACTTCCTCGCTATACCCAGTTATAACGTACAAGTTGCTCCTATACACAAGTCTCACACAAATGGACTTCCTGAAATTCTATCTTGTGAACAAACTTTTGTCAGTCTAATAATTCGATCTCAGCTAACGGTTCCCTCAGTTTTATGAAAATTAACAGAATGATACGATACTGTTAAGAGTAAATGTTAGTCTCACAAGACCTTGTAATTACATAAATTTATAATCAGGACACATGTTCGTAATAAATAAGCTATAAAACAAACCATACGAGTCTTTTCTGAAATTATGCAAGTGTTTCCTGAGCTAAAAGTGATTTTGACTGATAAAACATTTCGAGTAATGCGCGGTTATCAGTTTAATAGTGCACAAAAATGAATATGTAGCTAATATGTATGATGCTTGTTGAATTTTTAACTTCGGGAAACCTGCCGTGATATCTACCCTTCCGTTGCTTAGTATCATCGTATGCCGTGCGGAGAAGTGGTCAGAATCTTTTCGTAATGGGAAGTTCTTGAAGTGATAAGAGAGTTAACTTTTGTTAACGTATCGGGGTGTAGCGAGTGGGGTGCAGGGCGATGCGTCCTCGTACTATTTATTTCGATGTTTAACTATTTTCGTTTGTTCAACAGTTATTGTGGAAAAGAGACTTAAAGGGAAAGTGTATTGCGAAATTTGTCCATTTTCAGGTTTACATCCGTCAAGATTTCTAGGTTTAAATACATCCCAGTTAGTCCATCACCCCTTTCTACAGTTTTAACGTCATGTTCGATTCATCTCACTGCAGTTTATGGTTTGGAAAAACAATGTGGAAGATTTGAACAGATTTAGTTGGAATGCGTGCCATTGTTTCCGATCTTCAACGAGCTGTGTTTCAAGTAGCAGATGAACGTTTAGTTGCGGTAGCTAATATTGTTCGCGTCGACAGTAAAAAATGTCGGAAGCCAACATTTCTTTGCTTAGCTGGTTTGCTAATTAGTTATGTTGAAATTCTTTTTTGGAGATTGCAATAGCTCAATTTTTACGTGTTTGTCATTTGGTTTTGACTCGTTTTTTTGTCAATTTCAAATTATGCCATCGTTGCAGTGACCACGGACCAACCAATAGCTGTGCGTCTATATTTTGTCAGAAATGAAAAGGAAGGCTGTTATAAAAAGAAAAGACAGTTCGCACTTCGAGATGTAAAGACGGTTGATGGCATTAATCCGCGGAAGGTTAAATTTTGGTAGCTCTTGCGGGATAATGAACAAAATCTCATTATCTAAGCAAGTTCTTCAAGGGTACGTGGAGAATTCTATCAATTGCAGTTGACAGCGGAATTTGATTTGGTCGTTGACGATCGCTTGTTCAGGTTTTGTGCTTTCACAACTGAAGAGAAGGATTCATTCATCAAGCAACTGTATAAGGTCTTCCAAATTATTTTTTAGCATTCACATATGTTTTTTTTTTTCTTTTTTTTTTGATAGAATTTAAAACGCGTATAGCTAACGTGTTTTAGTTTGCTAATAAGTATCTCCCGGTACAGAAACCAGATTTTGTAAACATTCCGATTCCTGTCGAAACACCGCACATAGCCGTTATAGCAGAACATGTTGATGGTGACACCGATGAAGGGTTAGTTGATTATCAGGTTGGTGCAGAAAATATATGCTTTAAACTTTTTGCATAGGTCCAGGTTTCACTTTCATGATATGATTGTTTTATTGATTTCGGAAGTTTTTGTCAGGTATTGTTTCAGCCAATATCTGCTAAAGAAGAAGTTGATTTTCGCCGCTTACTTGCACGTGCCAATCTTACGATCGGTGAAGCGGATAAATTTGCCGCAGTGCTTACATCACAGCTTCAGCTTTTGGATGGCGCTAACATACAGTCTATTATGGATAGTGAAGCCGCCGTCAATGAACTTATTGGACTTGTTGAAGATGCCCTTGAAGAAGTTGATTTCTTGGATAAAGAGCTTGACAACTTTGATCAGTTACTTTATGTTAGTACTTCTACCTGATTTTCTCGTGCTTACAATGTTGTGTCTGTTTGTGACTTGCAAAATCATTGCTTAATTCTTTAATAAGTTTAAATTTGTTATTTGAATTTTAGTATTTAAAGTTCATCTTCATTGACATGACTGTGAGTTGAAGATGAAGGAGAGAAGTTGAATAACCTTTTATTTTGAATTAAACAGCATGTACGCGATAGTGTTGAATTAATCGAAGAAAAAGATAGCCTTGGATGTGTTGAACGAAAAAATACTCGAATCTTAAAAGATTTTTTGTCGGAATTGGTGACGACTGTAGATATTGTTAGTGAAGATCATATCCGTGCATTACAGAGTGCAAACTTATCCGATCCTATAAGGTAAGGAGTTTATGGAATCATCATGATGACATCTTGAATGGAGATGTTGATGTCCTGAATTTTGTGTTTTCTGTGCTTCCTGAACTCAATTTGCATTGCAGCATAAGTCGATGTTGTGCTGCAGCTCGTGCTTTGCAAGCTTATTCAGCAGCTAAAGTTAATCCTTCAATTCATTTAATGGTTTCATATAAAGAAAGAACTGAACAGTTAAATCACTTAACTGATCGTTTCATCGAGAAACTGATAGCACATATGTCCGCATTATTCTCAAATTTGGTAAGTATAAACATTTCGTTTTATTCATTAAAACATCATTGACGCTTAAAACATCATTGCAGTTTTCAGAACGATTTAATGGAAGTATCAGATTGGCATGAAATTGCAGTACAAAAGCAGTCGGAAAGATTCCACGCCCTTCGACCATTTTCTGATTTGATGGGATGGTTGAAATCAGTTAGACCATCTGTATATCAAACACTCATACAGGTATATTAACTAATATTTACTTTTCTTTTTTTTTTTCCTTTTTAAATTTAAATGGAGCCTGATTTTTCAGTTTTCAACAATGCAGATGTAATCTTAAAAATAGGGAAGGCAACACATTATATCCAAATCTTTTCTTCAGAGGTATGTGCAAAACACAAAGTTGATATACAAGAAGGAGTTTGAGCGGTTTTTTGAAGGTGTAAATGGTGAACTAAGTAAAATCGCCGATTTCGAACGCAGAACTACTCTTCGAGGCTCTGAGACAATGAAATCTATAGCCGAAAAGTCCTTACATGCTGAAAGTAAGGTCGACTCGAAGGAAGTCATCAGAGTAAGCGTGGTTTCCATAAGGATGAAGAGTAAGGTCTGAGAATGGCGCTACTTGACAAAATCTGCCTTTTTTGATATATACCAGTTTAATTGTATTAAATTGAACATGAAATTTAATAAGTAATTTTAAGTAATGGTTTTTCGAGTGTTATGCACTATTTTAGTTGGTTGAAGTCGTTTTGGGTGAGATTGGTCCAGTAGTTGAGTCGGAACAGAAGTTTTGTACAAGATTTTTCCATATGGCTGCTGATCTTTTGGTTGCATTAGAAACCCAGTCGACATCAAGCGGGGATAGCGGTATCATGGGCAAAAATGTTGAAAAACAAGTCACCGATCAGGTAAATCAATTCTTCCCAACGGGGAAAATTATAGTTTTTTTTCATGAAAAATATATCAGTTCTTTGTCTTAAGTAAAACAGCGATGAGATAAGGCGATTTTTTTCATTTTTTAGTGTAATTCAGGTACGTGCCATTTTGTCGCCATTGTTCGAGTCTTTACATGATCATTTCGATAAATTCATCAAGTCCTGTTGTCAGTTGCAACAACCGTATGTATTTTCTGTCTTTTGAGAACTGTTCAGATTTATGTTTTAAAAAGGAGGAAAAAAGCAAATCGAAGCTTAAAATTCCATGGTATTGTGGTCTTTGTTTTTACTTCGAGAAGTAAAAACACTCAGGTTCAGTTTTGCTTACTTCAAATAAATTTTTATTAGATTCGTATTTGTGTTGTTTGTATTTTTATCGAACAAAGCACCTTTGTTGCAAGATGCGTCATCGTATTTTTCTGTGATGGTTTTTGGACGTCTGGTTGTGCTGGTTAAAAGACAAATGGATGCATATTTGGTAATTATTTCAAATCATTTAGTGTTTATTTAAAATTCTCGTCATACTGAATCTTTGCAGTATTGCTTACGTATAATACTTCTACAAGAATTAAAACCAGCATATGATGGCTTTGTCTTTGCAGGATAGTAAATCTTACCAACTTGCTGAGATCAAATTTTCAAAACGAGTACGGATTGGTATTCTGGAAAGTGTTTATCAATTTGTGGTATGTTTTTTATTGAAAATATCTTGTAAATTTTGTTCTTTTTAAAGACTTCTTTCCAGTGCTTTTTTCATAGAAACTGGCTCGTATAGCAGAAGCAGCCTTTGTTGGAACTGAACGTCGTGCTGACCTAGATCGGTGGTATATACAGCTTATAACTTCCTTGAAAGATGGGATCGAATGTGCTGCTATATCGCCATTTTCGAAATCACCAGCTGCAGTTGTTCGATTTGAAAATTATCATCATTTGTATTGTACGTTTAAACATTTTGATTTTGCAATTAACATAATTTTTATGTTATTTTATCGATACAATTTTAGCACATAATACCGCTATAAAAGTTGAGTGAGGGAAGAAGTTTTGGTTAGGATCAAGTTTCTTTGCAGCTATTTTATCGGAACTTAAAATCGATTGTTTGGATTGGCAAAGAAAAGAAGCAAAAAAAGCATATCAAGATAATATACAAATTTATGTGAAGGAATTAATGGAAAGATCACTTGAGAAAATGCATGTTAGTTGATTTACTGTGGAAATAAGGTAGGCATTTTGATAGCATTCATAAACTGTTGTCATCTAGAGAAAACGGTGGTTGGCTTCATAAGTCTTTTTTATGTTTGAATTTAAAGCTTATGATGGGTACTTTTCTTTCAGCATTTTTTCGAATCAATAGAAAATCTTATTCGACAAGGAGTCAAACCGGAGGAAGTGGCATTTCACCAACAATTTAGTCGCTTAGAATTGAAAAAGGTACATTATGATGCTTTTTCTGTATAGAATCTTAAAGTGCTTTTTTATTCAAAGTCTCCGCAATCCTCAATTTTGTTTGAATCTTTTATAATCAGCTGTTCTGTGCTGTATAGGTAATATCACTTTATCCTGAAAAGGAAATAAAGAAAGGACTGGAGCAATTATACAAAAAGATAGAAAAACATCTGACTGATGATTCGCCACTGCTACAAGTTGTTTGGAGAAATATGCAAGTTAGTATTCGCATTGTTTCCACTTTTTATTCTTTCACCCAGTATTTGTTTCAGAGGTAAAGTTCAGTAGAACTATCTAATTTACTAGTGCTTTAAATGTTGTTCTATAACTATAAATATGACTATATTTCATTCTCAAAATTTCCAGGATGAATTTCTCAAACAACTGAAGCATTACAATGAAGTGATGGGACAGTGTTATCCAAATTCACGAATCGATCTTGAAATATCTATCCAAGATGTCCTCAGTTATTTTTCCCAGTTTGCTATGCAGCATTGAATGAATTGAAATAACAAAAGCGATATTAATCTAAATTGCTTTTTACAGCTTGATTTCTAGAGAAAACTGTTAATTTCATTTATGTATTTCGGATCTGAATTTTTTTCTCATTTATTCATGCCTCGAAAACTTTTGTAACCTAGGTAAATCATTTATGTTGCTAAATTATTTTAATAAATGCAGTAATCAATGTTCGTTGATAGAGACTTATTTCCCGAAAGAAAGCAAGCTTTGTTAGACTTCCAAAAATAATGAATTTTATTGTTTTTCATTGTTAATTATATGGGTATCTGTTATTCTACTATATATTGGAGGCAATCAGCCGAAAGTTTAGTTTTTGCGGAAGATACATTCTACACCTCCGGAGAATTTTGCCTGGATCTAATGGGTAGAACTATGTATGGGACGTCATGGGGAGATTAGTAGGAAAGAAGAGATATTCTAATGTCTATGTGTGTTGTGTGTGTATGCATGTGTATATGTATTTTGTGAGAGGGATACGAGAAGTTTAGAGTGTTGATTTATCTTGAGACTGAAGTTCTGGATTTCTGCCGACTGTTCGGATGAGGCAGTTGTTGTATATTATTCAAGGGTTGATGGGGTGTGGTGTGGAGCCTCGTGTAGAACTAGCTTTACGACGAACCTTGTTCTTTGGTTTAATACTCCTTCTTTACCTAGTTTTTGGTGCCTTTATCTTTTCGGCTTTACCAAAACGACAACAGACCTTGGTAAGCCTTTAAAATTTTGTGATTCATCATTTTACGAGATAACAGAGTGTAACCGTCCGGAATGATAGGAGTTTTCTTGCATATCTTTCGACACTTTACTGCAGAATATGTGCTAGAGTAGAGGTGAATGTAGAATCTGCTGCGCTTCTGGATTCCTCCTCCATTTTTGTTACATTTCCTTCATGCTTTCTTATACTCGAACTAGCGTTTATGATATATTTACAATGAAATGACTAATAAAATTAATAGTATTTTACGCTTTATATAAAATTGTGGAAACTGCACTCCATTATCTCAAATAATTTGCAGGTGTTGAAATACAATATGTTCGCAAATATTTTTAAATTGAGAAATGAGGAAGCGTAATGGTAAATGAGGAATGACTTGACTTTGTGACAAAGGTGATGAGTAAAATATATATGAGAAATGCAAAAGATAAGAGTTCCTCTGAGATCATTCCGGATTCATGTCCCAAATTGTCGTACGTGCTGTCTGAAGAGACTTTTCAATCTTATTTGATGTGAAAACTAGGTATAGTTTACATGTTAGTAAAACTGAAATTGTGAGTGCGGACGTCGTAGCATATATCGTCATCGTTAGAAGTACATTTTCATCAAATAGTAATAAGTGACATGACATAGTATTGCCTTTATGGATTTTTTTAATTTAAAGGGTTAGCTTGTATGTAACTCACAGAATTTTATTCTTGAAATTCGAAATCGAAGTCATAGGGAGGTTGCTTCGTAATTTATCAAAATCATTTACCATTGAAAAACTGTTCAGCAAATTCAAAATGCTTTTGAATGATCCTGAGAGATCTTAATTTTCTCAGTAAATATAAGCTTTTACACAAATGCCATCTTTTTCATTAGTAATTGATTGATAGATATACTCAACTTATGAACGATATGCACTATTATAATTTTTAGAAAGCTCTCATACCTAATATTCTGTGAAACGGAATGTTTCGTGGAGAAGATATGACGTAACAAGGTAATCTGAAATACTGCTGAATCAAACTCATCCAGAAAAGCGGATAGGAGGCAGACGCTAGTCCTGACTGGTCCCCACTACTTCACTGCTAATTCCTTAGCTTTGTGGAAGATCAGTGACATTTTCAATAGTGCAATATTCAGCAATAAGCATGTCTACTTATTTTTGATTCTGTAAGAATAGTTCGCCTTGATTCTCGTGGAGCTGTCAAACTTTCTGTAATAATGTCTCCCTTTTCCCGCTTCTTGTAACACTGAAAGAATTGTTAAAAAAGTTATGATGTTGAAATTTTATAGAAATGTGAAAAAAGTGCGGCACGGTTGGATGCGCAACGAAGCGAAATGTTAAATGTGCTGTGGGCAGAGACCATGGCCCAGTCAGAACATGAATGGTTCCTGATGGCAAATCAGAAACTGGATATCTACGAACGGTTTGTGCTCAATTCATGTCGAAGAGTTGCTACTTCACCATCAAAATCATTCAATAAAGCATTTATACATGCTTTTACCCTGATAACTACAATCGGTAGGTTAATAATTATTTAACAAGCAATTTCAGGTCTGTGAAGTTAGTTGAACCTTTCTAGAGGATTTTATTTCTAGCAAAAATTTTAACATATTATTCTCCGAAGTTTTGAGGCTTAAAAGGCTCAAGTTGAAAGTTGAAAAATTTAGGCATTCAAGGTTTTACTGAAGTTTGGAACTCAGAATATTCATAAATGCAGTATTTTATTCTTGTCAGGAGAAAGGAACCACTAGAATCTTGATCAGTAACTGGATTAGTCAGGGTGATCCAACGTTAACATCCTACCTAATCTTTTTTCGGTAGGCTGAAAATAATTTGACGCATGGCATGCATTGCTATCAAACTCTGTTCAGAGTAATTGCATCATTCGGTGGTGATTATAAAGACGAAGACTTAATTCATTTATAAATCAGAAAAAATTTGATTTCTTTAGGATTCTTGGATGAAGAAAATTTCTCGCCAATCGGTAAAATAGCAGCTATGAATTACGCTATCATTGGCATACCGCTGGCACTTTTATACCTTGCTCAATGCTCGAAAATGTTCGCTGGTCTATTACCGGGTAACCATATACTTATCGCAGCACTTGTAGCTATTTTCGCAACAGCGATTGTTTCCGACATCCTCGAGGAGTCGAATGATGATGCGGTATATTTAAATTTTGTGAATTTTATAAATAATGAAACTGTTTCTCGCATTTTTAAGGCTACTGAAATTAGCCGCTAAAAATATTAATAATTTTTATGTTGGAATACGTATATACCACATTTGATGCTTCCAAAATGAAAAGCTAAGTATATTCATCATTTTGCAAAACACAGCATTACTGCAATTTTCCAGGATTATCTGACGTGCAAAGTAACTTCAGCTTTAGCATCGAATTTGATTGAAAATTTTATCTTCTCAGATTTCTTTTTTAAAACTACTTTTGATATTTCCATTTTTTTACATGATTTTTTTGGTAGTTTCATTTTTATCAAGAACTATTTTCGCTTATGCTATTTCTTTCTCTACTTTTAAACGTCAATTTTTTTTCCTTTGTTTCAAATAAGACCATATGGCATCTTTTGTTCAAGGGAATTAGGATATGTCGGACGACCGTAAAGTGAAAGGAAAGGATTGAATTCATTTCAAAAAATTATAGCTTACAATGTGATTTCATACTTTTTTGTAAATATTGTGATTTTATTTTTTCAGCATCTGTTTCGATATAAAACAATTAATCAACATAATTAATTCATTTTAGCCGTTCATCGATACCCTCTTCCATGTATTTCTAATGTTGTCAACAGTAGGAAGCTGCAGTACTGAACCACCTGTCGCATTGATCCTTGTCGCCTTGTTCTCCGTTGGTCTGATATCTGTATCTTATGTATTGATCGATCGTCAAATCGAACATGCTTTGCAGGTGATATTAATGTTTGGCTCTCCATTCCTCCAGAAGTTACTAACCTTGCTTTTATTGATCAGCCATTGTTCAGTTTCAGTTGGGATTGAAAAAAAAGTTATAGTTAAATTTAAAGTCTTGCCAGTGACAGCCTAACCCAGAAAAAATCTAATTTTAATTTTGTTCTTATTAATACTAGGTTTTTGCTCACTAAATTTTTTTGGCTGCCATTGTAATAAGTCCACACAATTGAGACTCTAAACTAATTTAAATTTTAACTAAAGAAGTAGAAGGTTCATTTCCAGGGATTCGAATTGCTGTTTAGCAAGTATTTTGGTATACTTCGTCGTTCGATGTGTAGTAAAGATGAAGTTGAGGAGAATAAGATAATTGAGGAGGAAGAAGAGACCGAATCCGATACATAGTTAATTTGTATTTAGTTAATTTTTGAATCCCGCAGTATTGGATAAACCAGAAAGTGATATTTCACTTTGTTTCAGCAGTACTGGTAGCAATCATCAAAATTACTATCCAAAATGAAAACGTCTAGGTTTGCGTATTGCTTTATTTCAAAACTGAAATATATTCAAGTTTTGTAACTTTATCCATGAACTGATACTAATACAATCTTTTGTATCATGCTCTATCTTGGCAGCATTTTACATCAATATTTCGACTTACATTAGTCACCTTCCTAATTTTCAAGAAAAGTGATTTAGAAAGAAGTTGCAATCTTTCATCTTCGAGAGATTGAAACCAAATTTTAATGAATTATTAAGCTTTGAAAAAATGAATTACTACATATGAAAAATGTAAAAAAGATTCACGCTACTTTTCTATTAAGAGTTCATTCTGTTCTCATTTTCTCTACAATACTTGCAATTCTTAGTTTTGCGTATTGCTTTATTTGAAAACTATATTCAAGTTTTGTAACTTTATCCATAATGAACCGATACTAATACGATGTTTTGCTATATATTTAATGGTAGTTAATGAAATGAATTAAAATTTTTTTAATTTCTTGAGTTTTATGCGGAATTAGTAACTGTTACTATAACTGTTGCTGGTTTGTTAATGTTCACAAATAGTTACTAAGAGGACTTTTTTTTTCCCATCCAATTTTCTGAATATATATATTATAAATAAAAATTGGTTCACATGGTGCTAGCAAGCACGAAATAATGGTGGTACCTCATATCAATAAGTTCATTTATGAGCTTAAACATTTTTAACCATGATAAAGAAGTTTCTAAAGACTTTTGGAAGACTGCAACTTTCCTTCTAATTCCATTGTTTGCTGAATTTACTAGTGTATTGTGCATGGATTGATTGAAATCTTCCAGATCGCTCAATTTTCCCATCTGTAGTTGACAGAAGGAATCAGAAGAAAGTATTTTATATAACTGGATAAAACAAGTTCATTTTTGAAACAAATTTAGCAGTAAAAGGAGAGCCGTTATAATGAAATTGCTGACATTAAAATAGTTCATTTTAATACAATCATGAGTGGACGCCATATTTCATTTATCAAACTAAATTTTCTCTCTCTTTTTGAATGAATTACATATCACTTTGTCAAGATCAGAGAGTTTAGAAAATGTACCCCATGGGAATAAGGTTTTTTTTTTAAATTTTAAAACGTTTTGGATTTGCAATAGCAAAGGAAGGAGAAAGTTTTTTGAATGAACAAACACTTCATTGTTTGTTGCGGAAAGCCAGTATACCAACATAAATGTGTTTTTTATTTAAAATAATATTGAAATCTCTCAAATTAATTTCTCTTGGGACCGGATTAATAGGAAAATTTTACATCGTTTAAAGCATCAATGACTGTCAAATATAAGTAGGAAATAACATTGAAGTGGTGAAGTGTATACATGAGATTATATTGAGCAACATTAAACACATCAATGTTATCACATTCATGATAGCAGCAGTAGTAACCTACGGAAAGAGAATCGAATAATCTGGAAGAAAATTGGAGTGGAAGCATCTGTATATTAAAAGATTACTTCTTTATTACATCCAAAATTTAATAGGACCTTTCAATTAATAATATTTATTATTAATAAACACCTAAAGCTAGGAGGTGTTCGAGACTGCACTATAATTTTTCAATCTTCAACGTTAACTTGTTCATCGTAACAAATATTACTTTTAAAATTTTCGTAATACTCCAAACCAATGTTCTGCAATTTTTAAGAAGATAAATATCGTTGCATTATTTGTGTTTTTCCCACTCTTTTTTTCCACCTAATAGTCATTCTTGTTATTAACACATTCCTTTTTGCAGTGCAGGAAGTTACTATGTAACTGACCTCTGACAAAGAATGTTTTCGTCCGATTTTAATAGTCAATCATAAATGATTGTGCTTTCGCAGAAGTTGAAATAGCTTAGAATACTTCATCTAACTCTCACCCTATCTAAAAAAAACTTTATATGTTTTCTTAGTTATTATAGCTTGGCTTATCACAATGGCTAGGAAAATGGTTTTCTCGCTCAATACAGTTCAGTCCATTAAAAAATTTTTATCTTATTTTGAGAATTATGTATTTATTCATTTTTACAATATTCTGAGGTATTGAACTGATAAATTAGCAGTTACTAATTTTAAAATTTCAAACCATTGATAATCCTTACTTTTTTTTTTTTTTTTTTTTTTTACTTTTAAAATACTTACTTTTAAAATACTAGTGTAAACATACTAAAACGAATTATGTAACTTTGAAGAATTCGGAAGGAATAGCTGTCCATTCGGTTCTAAGACAGTGATTATGAAAACGAAGATTAATATAATTTCTGAAAGTCTCGTGTCAAAATTTCCATTCTTAGTTTTTAGAAAGTACTAATGAACTAACTTAGCTCATTACAAATAATTTATTTAGTAATTGTGATATACCTAAATTCTTTTTTCATTTAGAAAACATTCTTAGCATTTTAAATTTGTACAATTTAAATTTGAAATGATGTTGCTTGTTGGCACAAAAACTTAGGAGCTATATTGTATTAAGCAGGGATTCTCAACTCTCTGGTAAATCTGAAGAATGTATGATTGGAAAAAGTTATGAGAAAGAGTGAAACGTGTTCAAATTATTACCAGCAAAAAGAAGGATGATGCTATTGTATAAGTATGCTATGTTGTAGCTCGAATTCGACTTAGTAACGATTCTCGAACAACATCATATAAATAGCGCTGTCGTTTTGACTCGAGATCCAATTCTGTTTGATCATCCTTTTCTGATTTTGAACAGGACGTTAGCCGTGTTGATTTTACTTCACGCAACAATTTGATAAATAAAAAACACCGCCTTTTTGTGTTGATTTGTGATGGATCTTGAAACTTCCCTTTTCTGAAAAGGTAATATTGCTGTGAAGAATTATATAAAACTCTAGTATAATGGTGACTGTTTAAAAAAAGAAATGGGCAAAGCGAAATCTAGATTTGCATGTGGTGGGAAATAATCCACGCAGATTTCATTATTCCAAGGTACGGAATTGTCGTACATCAGCAAGCATTAAGTGACATCAAATTTGACTAGAGTTTTGTTCAAATTTTTTAGTATGTTTTTCAATAACAAGTGTAAGGTGCGTTTTCTCAGTGAGCTAATATTGCATTGTTTCATTCAGAAAGATATACATTTATTTCCTCTTCTTTCCCTCAAAATGAGGAGTGCGACGAAGTTTGGCAACGGTTTAGAAGGTAAAAGTTTTAACTGATTGGTTGAAATTTTGAACACTGAATACCTGTTTCCATCAGACTGATCATTTACTATTACCATGTGTCACGTCGTATTTTAAAATTAAAGTCCTCAGTTTTAACAAATATTCTTCAATATTTCAAAGACAGCTGCACTTCAACTTCCAAAACAAATCGCGAGAAATTGTAAGTCAAATATCATTTATTTCTAATAGCTTATTTTTCTCAGGTAAAAAGAAGTTTCTCTTACAATATATCTTATTTAATGTACCCTTAATGGACAAAGTTCAGTAAATATGGCTCTTTTTTATGTGCCAAAATTTTCCAAGAACAAAAGGGTATGAAGAAATATTTCGTTATTGTTGTTGTTATCGCTTTTTAGAAGTTTTGCCCATTCGGTTATTTCTAAAAATGGCCCACACTTTTGTTTTCTTCCACTGTTGTAAAACATAATTTGTAGACAATTTATAGCTCCTTTCTTCCTCACTATTTACCCCACCTCTTTATCTTTCCAATCCTTTATGAAATTATCGCAAAAAAAAAAAAATCAATGAACTCAAATTAAAGTTTTTTCATGAACCGAATTATCACCTTCTTTTATGTATTTTCTCGTCAAAGTATTATGATATTGTTCTCAATTTAATTTAAAGAAAATGATTTGAAGAAAAACCTGTTAAACCCAAGAAATAAATTTTGTTTCCATGCGGATTGAAACATTGTATATCCAGAGGACGTTAGTTGTTCACGGAAAAGACATTTGTCATCCATTCCGTCACTCTGAAAAATTCATCGGATACTCTGTTGCAAGAAATTGAATTCTTTGAATTCTGTTATAATGTATCTTTCAGAATTCTTTCAGAATATGTTTATAATCATGACAGTATTATTTAAAAAAAATTTTTTTTGGATTTGTGGTTACCTATATATCTGGATATGGTTGACCTGAATCCCGTGTTAGAGTATCTTATATGAGGAAGACATTAAATGATAGTAGCAACATTTTATCACTTATTTTTTCATGCGATTTTAGTTTGCGGAATTTGAAAGTGGACAAATTTTCTCTTTTTCTTTTTATTTTTTGGCGTTTAATATTTCTGGTGATGATAGCGATATAATGTTACCTCCGATAAAGTGTAACAAAAGACAGAAGCAGAATAAAATTTTCCCAATACAATACTAATTTTCCCAATGTAATAATGCTAGAAATATCCCAGAAAAAAAAAAGCTACTTTCATTAAACAATAACAGTGGAAATGCGAAGATCACTTCAATAGGCAGCGATGACAAATCGTTTTTTTTTTTTGATTTCCAACAAAAACTTCTGAATTGACTTTCATGATATTTTCATAGAATGAAAATTATGGTGCCAAATGCTTTCTTGATTATAAAATTTAAAAAATATTTTGGTGTTGTATAGTAAATTAATTCCTTTCGTCTTACTGGAACATCCTTTCAGCATTTTTGTCTTTATTGAAAACCAATTTTTAAAAGATCAAAATGTTATAATACCATTTCTCTCTTTAAACTAATACGTTGATTCACAAGCTACCTACAGGCACATTATTTGACTTTTTGTGAAAAAAAAAAAAAAAAAGACCAAAATAATTCGGCAAAATGAGGTGTAACATCTAAAGTCGAGACAAAGAATGAAGATTGATTTTCGGCATATTTCCTAGCCTGGCGTACTTTCCTCCGAAGGGCATATGAAACTTTTCATATAATTTGCA